ATATTCACTTTCTCCACACCACTCATGATTTTATATACCTCTGTCATATCCCCCCTTATTCTCCTCTTTTCCAAACTGAAAAGTCCTAGCCTCTTTAATCTCTCTTCATATGGGACCCATTCCAAACCCCTAATCATTTTAGTTGCCCATCTCTGAACCTTTTCTAATGCCAGTATATCTTTTTTTGAGATGAGTCTTATAGTTCAGGTTGGAAAAAAAGCTAAGGAAAGACCATTGTAAGTCTCTCCAAAATGAAAAACTGTTCAAAGTTTGGAAATTAAAAACTAAAATTCCAATAAATAAATAAATGTGGCGAGTATACTTATGTTTATCTGAAGTCAGTCAACCAAGAAATGTATCTTAGTGATGTGTTTCCAGAGGCTCTTTACTGTTTTTTTTTTTTTAAGGGGAACTTTAATTTCAAATGTCTGAACTTTCCATATTTTTTGTTTCTAGATAAAACTCCAACTGTTTCTTAATATTTTTTCTGTAAATACAGATTTCTTTCTTTCTTTCTTTTTTAACTTTAATTTGAGGAAGCCAAAGTTTTCCCCTTGGAATAATAACAATATTTTGAACATCTATAGTGCCTTCCATCCAAGGATCGTAAAGTGCTTTACATGAATAATAATTAGCATTTTTTAGCCTTTAGATGGTAATAGCACTTTACAAATATAAATTAATACACACAACTCTCCTAAGAGGTAGGTATTATAATCCCCCTTTTATAGATAAGGAAACTGAGCAGAAAGATTGTGTCTTATAAGGGATGGTTGGCAATCCTAAAACAAGATGTCCCTTATGTTTTCATGTTTGTACAACAAGATCAGGAGCTGCTGACTGCTGAAAAAGCAGCAAGAAATACCTCTGGTGAATATCAGTGAGCAGGCCTTCTCAGAGGTTCAGAGAAGCCCAGTCCACTTCCAGCTTTTGAGGCCTCTAGCCATAATAAAAAAAAAAAATTGATGACACATGAAAACAAAATAAGGTGCCAAAAAAAAGTGAGACATAATTTGAATATTTTTTTATTTAACAAATGCTTTTCTAGTCTTTTTCTGTGCAAATGCACTAGTTATTGAGGAAAAATCTAGCTTTCATGCAATGTAACAGCTGAAATTAAGCATAGCGAGCCTATCCAAATGCTCTTGTCCCATAGTTGAACAGTGATAGTTCTTTACCTGCTTCAACACGTTGAAGGTGCATTCATCTGAAGCTACTGATGCAGGTAAACTGACAAATACGCAATGGAATTGTGATATTAGGAAACAACCCAGAGTTCAAGTTCGTATATTTCTTGAAGCAATTCCTTTGAGGCCCCCTTTGAGCTTGAGTCCTAGGCCAAATGGCCCTCCTGGTGTGCCGCCCCCAGCCCATTGGCCCTGTCAGTGAGTACTGTGTATTATTATTATTGATGATGATGATTGGGTGGGGTGCTAAGAAAACAATTCCTTATTTTTGAAATACAATGTTGGCAACCCTATGTCTTACTCAAAAGTTAGTGTTAGACCCAGCCTGATCATTTAACATTTATATTGCCTAAAGCAGGCCACATTGTTCTATGCACTGTACAAACATAAATAACATATCCTGCCCTAAAGGGTTTAGAGTTTAAAAGACGACATAAAAGGTGGATGAGACAAGTAAATGGGGTAAGTTGAGTGAGATGCAATAAGAAATAATCATATGATGTGTGCAAATTGTAGCTAGACAGTAAGAGAAGTCATTCAGGACATCCTGACTTCCAAACCCTTGTTCACGCCAGTCCTCTAGCAACCCTGTGGCATAGCAGGGAGTATCCACCCAATCTCCTCAGTCTCTGCTCTAGCTAGGACTCAAATTGTTCTCAATGATGCAAGATCAGGCACTCAAACACAAAGTCATCCTTCCTCTTAATAATAAAGCTACTGAAATTGAGATTATTTTGCCTACAGTTTGAGCAGTCACTTTACTTGAGTATTTTCTTTTGCATGTTTTTACAATACTTCCAATAGGGTCACTCTTCTAGTTGCTCCTCCATGTACTGAACTGGGCTAGAGGAACTGCAGGAATGGACCCTATTTTAAATTTATAGTGATTGAATTTGTTTTCATGGGGATAATTGTTTTTTTTTAAAGACACTTTTGAGTAATTTTGCCTGAAAATGTATGCAGTCGTTAAGCCTGCAAAGAGCTCTCTATAGCCGCAGGACCTTATGCTGACTTTAGCAGGCCGTGTGGTATTCAGCCATTTTGTGCATTATTCTACCAGCAATTATTGCACTCCTTTGTGGGAAAGTTCCTCTTTGCAAACAGTTTTGCAAATGTTGGGGCCTCAGTTTTCACATAATTTTGTTTTCCCATTATGCAGCCTGCAATCTCTGCAAGGCAGATTGTTCGGCAAGCACATTTTAACGATCATTTCTCTCTCAAAACTTGTTTGCAAACCACGGCACAACTGCTAAGGGAGCTCTGCCCAATCGCTAATCAACTCCGCTGAGTAGCTATTCTACAAAAAGTCAGTTTGCTTCTACTGGGGCAGGAGTTCCGCACCGCCTGCCCCGGTGCCCCCAGCGGTCTGGGCGGGCGCACGCGGGCGGCGTTCGAAGCCGGGGCGGGGCTGCAGTGGGCAGGCGCGGGTCACGTGATTCCTCCCTGTGGCTCGGTTGGGGTTGGGTCCCGCGCCCACCGCTACTAGTCCCGGAGCAGCTCGCGCTGGGTTCAGCTGCTCGCGCGCGCTCTGTCTCCATGGCGACCCGCGGCGGGGTGACGGCCGGGAGGCCCTACGAGCTGGTGGTGTTCGGGGCCTCGGGCTTCACGGGCCACTTCGTGGCGGAGGAGGTGGCGCGGGTGGCGGCCGGGGCTGAACTGCGGGGCTCGCTGCGCTGGGCCGTGGCCGGCAGGAGCCGGGACAAGCTGCAGGGGGTGCTGGACAGGGCGGCTGAGAGGCTGGGTAAGGGAAGAAGACAGGGGCTAAAGAAACGGGGACCCCGGCTCTTCACTTCCC